ATAGAGCTATATAAAGAAAAAAATATGTAAAAGAAATAAATATATATTTTTTATTTCATATATATTTTTTTCATGCAGGTGTTCCTGTAATATAATTTATTATGATATTTCAGTATAAAACTTGAATTATAATGCTTTTAATAAACGCACATAACAAAAAATATTTATTATACGGCCTAGTCGAACAATTCTACACAATGCTTGTGTTACCAAATAAGCATGCAAATTTTATATTAATTAAATAAGAAAGCCACTAAAGTTATTAAAAGCCTCTAAGTAATTCGAAATTTTGTGTGATTGTCAAATGATGTCACCGTTGAAATTGTGGTGAAAGATCCTGTATATCTGTTCTTTTTGGAAGAATTTTCTGAAGTAGTGTACACTGATGGGTGTATATCAGTTGGACACGGGGCAATTGGACACAGTCCAATCACAAGTCGCTGTTCCAAGGGACCCTACAAATGTCTCTAATCACACGGTGCTGTGTTTGGCTGTGCCCAAATGCACCGTGTCCAAGTGCACAGCTCCCTACACTGATGCAATAAATGTAAATGGGAAGAAATATCTCATTCTATCTTGTTGCAGCAGTGTATAGTAATTTTAAAAATTCTTCGAAAAAGAAAAGATCGATGTGTGAATATATTTCATATAATATATAATTTATTATACTCTATATATATTTTTTTTTTTATTATATTTTAATATATTATATATACATTTATATATGTATATAAAATATCATAAATTATATATAAGATATGAATATAATAAATGTTAACATACAAACGTAGGAAAAAAATAAAAATCAATTTTTTGGCATGGATTTTCTATCTTTTCGGTGACCTTCCCAATCTTTTGCTCCGCTAAAAACTATTCCTAGGTTCTTTGAAAAAACAACATCTATAATTGTCTCCTTTTTATAAATATATATTTTACCAAAAAAATCTGTAAAGACAATAGAAGATACTATTATTTCATTATATTAAAAATAAATATTATTTTATAAAATTACATTTAACTATACGAATTATTCTTACTGTATAAAGATGTGTATAAGTTTTTGTGCATCTCTTTGAACACCATTTTCCTGGTCATTTTCTTCGTCGCAGTATAATTCCTTATAATTTCTCGGGTTATCAATATGTTAAAAATATTAGTTAAATTCTTCGTTAGAGTATAACTATCCATGTAAATGCTATGCAACGCAGTATCCTATTAGCAAAACCAAATAAAAATGTATAATATTTAATTAAAATAGATACTTATTAATAATAAAAAGTACAAAATAAAAGTATATATTAATTGTGAATATGTCAATTAATCCTTGGTGTATAATATTAAGTCTATTAGACCCCAGGCGTCTCATATTGTTTATATTTTTTATACTTTTCACTTTGACGTGAATCTTTAGTCGCCGTATAGAGTTGAGTTTGAATTTCAAAGTCAGCTCTATACGATAACTAAAGATTATTTTACGTCAACGTATGAAATATATATAAATAATATATAAATATATATAAATATATAAGACAGCTGGAGTGAAACAGATTTCATGTTACCTGTAGAAGAATAAATAGAAATATTATAAAATATATTAAACTTACGAAATCTGCGCAAAATTTTGGTTCGTCTCTTAACTTACAATCGAATATTTTGAGTTCTTCCATATCTGATATGGGAAATATTAGTTCATATTTTCTTTTTAACATGAAAATGTTTGCTGCTGCTCTTTCTGTAGACTGAACTGCATTTCTATTTTCAGACATTCTCATCTCTCTAATTTCTCCTTTTATAAATTTAACATCATTTTTTATGTCTTCTACACTGATAAACAAAGATTGTAAAGCTAAACAAACAAAAATATATATTAATATGATTAATATTTACCCTTAAACTTATAAATTTCTTGTAAAACTTATAAATTTCTAAATTGCTTTCTATTGCAAAGTATTCAGTACAAAATATATTAACACGCTTTTATTCTTTTCACTTAAGTTTGAAGTTGTAAAAGTCTTACTTTTTATGATTTTTTTAATGATTTCACCTTTTTCAATTTTGTTCAAACTTGTTTCTTCTTGCATTTGTAACATATATGTTTTTTTGGATATTATTTTGCCTCTGGAAAACTGAGGAAACGCACCTGTTTCTGCAGTTTTACACTCTGGGAAATATAACATCCATTAATGTAATATATTCATAATAATATTATTTAACGTCAATATAGTCAATATAGTCAATATAATATAAAAATGTTTTATACTTTCAGTATTTCTTGCTTCTTTTTCCGGAATTCTTTTCTTTTTTTCTTTCCTTCCTTTATCCTTTTTTCCTTTTTGATATCATGATCTGCAAAATTATTAATACTTTAATACTTTACGTAATACAATGTCCAAAATTGAGACGTAACATATGTTGAAGACGTCTTATGTTTTGACGCCCTGAAGACGATTTAAAGACGTTTTATGTTCCGATTTTGGACATTGTGTTGTGTGGGTATTCTGTAATATTCTATAGTAAGTATATATTATATTATAAAAATATAATTGTTACATAAATATATAATATGTTTTATATAAAAAATGCATTATGTGTAATTTAAAATTAACTAGTAAAATATACAATATAAAAACAATTTAAAGCAAAATAAAGAACAAAATATTACGTAATAACACTATACAAGGTGTCCGATAACTCACCAGTAGCCGCCGTGTACAGATAGATTAGATCAAACTAAACAGAAAATTGTTGTACTATTTTACGAACAACCACGTAAAAAATTTTGAGTTATTCGTCGAAGATTCATTAATGATCACGCACCATACGGTAGATAAACTGCAATAGCGACGTCTACCGTGTGTTTGTGTATTAGGCTGAAAACATCCTCTATTTCGCAAATAATCTCGTAGACTTTTAGTTATTAATTAGAAAAAATTGATGCATTATTATTCATAGTTATACATCAATCTTTTATAATTCATAACTAAAAATCTACGTGATTATATGCAAAATAATAAAGGATTTTTTGTTCACTTTAGTCTAATATACAAGCACGGTGACAGACGTCGCTGTTACAGCTCATCTTACCTATGGAGTCTGATTACCAAATCTTCTTTGATTAATAACTGAAAGTTGTACGTGGTTGTATGCAAAATGGTAAAGGGATGTTTGTTCAGTTTAAATTAAATTTAGTCTATCTATACACAGTGATTGTTTAGTGAATTACCGGACACCTTGTGTACTATGCTGTTCTGATACCTTCTTTATAGTTTTCGGAATTATCACTCAAAGAAGGCACTGTAGAATCATCACTGGAGTTATTAAGATCTTTAACTTCCTGCATTATTGCATTACGACATATTGCGACTGAGTTTTCATCATCCGTAACCATATATGGTTTTTCCTGAAGTTTGTTAAGTCTTTCTGAGGCCTGTTCATATGAATCTGCATATATGTATAAAATAAATAAAAAGTCTGGTATATTTCTACTTTAAAGTAATAAATAATTATAATTTTATTTACTTACTTGCATGACCAACAACAACAACGGAATATTCTGTCCATTGATGGTTAGGTTTTTGCAAATTTGCAACTTTAAAATGTAAATCTTTAATTTTACTGAACGTATATGGAGAAGAAGGAAAAGGAGTAACACATATATTTAATTTTTTATCTTAACGTAGCCAACTTTTGAGCACAACATCTATTTCTGCTAGTACGTCTTCCTGTTTACATTTATTTATAAATTTTACTAAGATGTAATTTCGAGTTTTATTTCCATTTTTAAAATCCATTCTATAAGTAAATACAAAATATGTTTAATAAGTAATAAGAAAAATTAATATAAACATTGTATAACATTTAAAAGTGTAATTGAAAGTTAAATTAGAATTGTTTTATTTAAAAATCGCTAAATTTATAATCTTACAAAAAAAATTGAATTTAATTGCCAAATTAAATATCAGAAAACACTGTATTAGGAATAAGCATAAGAAATAATGTTATGTTGTTGAAAGTTAAATTATTATAGCTAGACACGAACTATACTTGATATAAAACAAATATACTCTCTCCAGGACAATTAAAATATTAATAAAAACAGTAAATATACACTAACTATCAATTATAAGTTAATCACTGATACCTTTCAGTGATTAGGTTATATAATTTTATAAAACTTTTACACGTTTCACACATTTCAATTCGTAACAATACGCAGTGAACAGTTTCAGTAGTATACTTATAACTGAAAATCAGTGTATATTCACTGCCTTCAATAATATTTCACTGATTCACTGTAAGAGTACTGTTACAACTTGAAATGTGTTATTGTCCTAATTTTGATGTACACAACACTTAAAGAAATGTTTATAAATACCTGTTAAATGTATTATCCTTTTTACTTTTATTGCACCACTAAATAACAATTACTTTCGCCATGTACATGGTTTTCACCATTTCACGTGTAAGGTTAGAATATCGGTCACTAGTACCAGTCCGCAAGAAACTCTTGCGCGCACGCGCATGAAAGAAACGTTAGCAGTGCTGTGAAACAGTTGAAACTGACAAGGAGATGACGCCAATTAGGAAATCGCTTTTCCAACGAGTCATAGTGCGTTCGATAGCTTACATGTAGCTAATAAAAACCCTAAAGGCGTTTGTGCCAATGGGCCTTCGTTTAGGAGAAATTACAAAACAAAGTTAGGGTCACGCAACTATGTCCCATGTAAAGAAGAACATTAGAATCTTTTTCGAGTAAGCGGCGTAGCTGAGCCGACTAAGGCTCCCGTCCATACATTTTTGCGCCGGCGGCGTGCGTTCGAGTCCCGCCGACGACTGCTTCGCTTTTTTTTTTTTT